AAAGTGAACGACAACCTAAAGAAATTAATCAGGGACTTTGTCGTTCAGTTTTTTCCCGGAAATTTATGCTAAACAAGCTATAATTAAATAAAAATGATTTTCCCCATACAATTTTACCTGGTTTACTACCAGTCTCCAGAGAGCCAAAAAAATTCAAATTTGAGAGAGAAATTCTCTCTCACGAGCTCAATCTCTCAACATGCCATGTATTTTGTTGACACTCGATTCGTGATTTCCCTTTCACAACTTACAAAATAGAGTACCTGACACTACAAAACATGTCTGGTACCTCTATATATGCATTTGCTTTAACATTTGAAGTCCCTCCTTTTTTACATATTTGCGCAAAAGACACTCCCCCTTATTCTGCGAGTCACGTGACTCTCTCTCACCGGTGAGGTGACAATTGTCACCTCGTGTGAGGTGACTCTCCATGCAAATTAAATGGAGAGTCACCTCACACGAGGTGACTATTGTCACCTCACCGGTGAGAGAGAGTCACGTGACTCGCAGAATAGGGGGGACTTTATGCCCCGCCCCATACATAATATTCGGCGGGAAATTCTGTGAGGGGTGAGCTGTTTTGTGTGCAGAATGTGTAAAAAAGGAGGGACTTCGAATAATAATCTAAATGCAAATATAGAGGTACCAGACATGTTTTGCACTACAGTGTCCTCTGTGAACAATTATAGGAAAACAGATTGTGTGTAGTTTCCGATAGATGTCACCGCAAACAACAGCAGTGACACCTGATGGAACATGAATGCAGAAGCTTGACAAAATGATTAATTCAAAAACAACTGAATCATTTTTTATTGTCCATTGCGGGAAAGTAAGAATGGATTTGAAGGCATTGGCCCTTATTACGGGTGTCACTTCACGGTGAAAACGAAGTGAAGTGACCAGTTGTCACTCACGGTGAAGTGGTTGCCGTGTAAATCAAATAGGAATCACTTCACCGTGAGTGATAAGTTGTCACTTCACCGTGAAGTGGCAACGGTAATAAGGGCCATTACATTTGTTGCCACCTTGCCGCATTTACTGTTACATGGTTGGAGCTTAAATATGTTAGATCACCAGCGCTGCTGATGTTTTCAGTAGTTTCAAGAACTGGATCGCATTGCAGGGGGTTGGATTGACCAGTCCAGTATGCGGCAGATGATGGCGGGAATTCCAGAGAAAATTCGCGAGTTCATTCGAACGCCGTCGGAGTAATTTTGCTATTTTTTTTTATGAAAGTACAATAAAATACCTAAATTAGATTTTTTTACGTCAAATCAATTCCGAGAAACACCTGGTTTTATGTGTCCGGATTCTAAGTGGACCAGACTTTAAAAGGCACACCCTGCGCGGTTTTCTCCTACTATCTTCAGATGACACCAAAATTGAATGCAACTGGTTTCAAAAGATTAGAAACCACTCAAATATAAATTTGGTACCCATAGAAAGTTTCTAAGTTCACCATAAACCGAGGGGGGTGACACATCTAAATCTCAATTTGAAATGCTCAAAAAATCTCACACTAGCGAATCAATCTTCGAAAAAAAAAATCTTCGCATCATCTTTTTGCAGAAAATCTTCAGAATCGTCATCAATCTTCTTTCTATCTGCTCAGCGTGCGAGCAGCTAGCCACAGCACAACACAATCTTTCCTGCAGCGTAGACAGAGTCGTCCTCCTCGCCATAAACCAAGAAATTAAAAAAAATATTAACTGTTCCGAAAAATAATCTGGACCGGTTAAAACAATGAGACGCGTGTAGCTAATCGCAAGACAGTCGTCGTTGTCACCAGATTTGAACGACGATACCAGTATACGATCAAAATGTTAGTAAGGATGGGCTTGGAGGCCTAGTGGCGATCGTTTTTGCTTACTGAGCGGAATTTCGCTGGATCTTGCTCATGCTAAATCGGGCCTGCAATATGTGATCCCCGCCACATAGCCAAAACTGAGGATAGTTACTTGAAAAGGTCATGTGATATCAGCACACGTGATGATACGCCACCTACCCACACTTACTTTTTAATAATTTTTATTATTCTTTTTTTTTTGTTAATTATTTAATTTTTACTAAACAAAATCTTTTCCTGTTTTTTTTTCTTCAATTTTCTTTTTTATTCATTATTTTCATTCACATCCTCAGTACTATTTCTGTCTGTTGTGTTTTTGCGTGTCTGTTCTTTTGTTTTGTTTTGCTTAATTTATCATAAGTCATTAAAATAACAATAAACATCTGGGTGTGTGTATCTTTTATTTCTGTTTGCTCTCGGCTCGCTCAGTGTTTCCTCTTTCCATCTCTTTTAAAGGTTTTCTGTATTGTTTTCATACTTCAGATTCGTCGAGCATGCCTCCTGCTGATTTCCACAAGTTTACAAGTAAAAATGAAATGCACAACAGTTCAGTAAACCAACAAAAAAAAAACTCGGAAAATCTTTGAAAATATTCAAAACATGTTAAAAACACATTTAACTTTAAGGGACACCAACGGGAGGCAGAACTCTCAAAAATTTGATCCGAACGTCAGCAGTGCTAATAGGGAGAGTATTGAATTCATCGTATTGTATGCAATTACTCCACTTTAGCAGTTGTTTTCAAGCAAATAAGCAACGAAATTTGCTACTTTGCTGAACTTGTAATTCTAGTAGATAGGTTGCTACTGTTATGCGTCAAGTTTATTCTACGGTAGAGAGATAGAAAGATTTTTCTGAGGGTATGTCTTTCGGGTGTACTAGGTTTTCAGACTTCTATTGTTGATGATGTTGTTAAATGTGGTACTGTTCGAGCCAGCCGCTGTGTAAGGGAGGAAAAAAAGGAGAATTGACTTGACAGGTTCCATTCGATTGGATTTGCTTCTGTTTTAAGTTATCCTAAAATAAGCTACTAATAGTACTTTTTACATAACGCGTATGTCTACGGCGGGACTATCGAGCTTCCCTCTGATCTGGGATTCCTGGTTTATTTGAGTTTCGCGCAAAACGTTTGATAACATTGGTCTTTGGAAACAAGACGAGCGCGAGTGAGAGTGAGAAGATAATGCATCTCTGATACCATTTAGTGAATACACAATTGAGGAGGGAGGTGTGAATGTGTGAGTGTTTATAATAAATTGCAGTGCGAACAAATCAACAATTCGAATTTGAGATACAGTGGACTGACGACCAGGGGGAATGCGATGTCCCGCGCGAAAGGAGCGACAACATCCAGCTTCCTGGCTCCGATGTGCCTCTCTCGATAGGGAAGAATTTTCCTTGTCAATTCTCCTTTTTTTATATAGTGACAGGGTGAGCGTATAGCACATATTCTGCTTTCTTTTTTTTTTACTATAAAGAGTACTTTAGCTTATCTTAATAGTTAACTTCCCTAAAAAGAACGCGCCATTGGGAAGGGGCACTTGAGACAGAATACAGAGGGTTTTTTTTTTTCATTTGCTGGGCAGCAGAGCGGTTGATGTTTTCTGAAGTAGGTATCTGCATAGACATGTGTGTGCCATGTAACCTCAAACCTCAAAAATAAATTTGATCTTTGAGCACTTTGTCGTTTATCATAGCCGTTATGCTTGCCCGCAAATTGATCACATTTGTTTTTTGAAAATCAATAAATATGTACGTACCTAGTGTTCTCGAGCCCCGTCTTCTGCCTCTTCGATCCCTCAGTCCACGAAATGACGCAGATCTCTTGATAAAGTCTATACATTGAAGGATGCCTGAACAATATCTCATTTCTGATAGGTATAACAACTTGGTTTTCTTTTCCATCGTTCTCGCGTCTCAAGTACAGGTATGTTAGTATCTTAACCAGAGGTGGCAACAGTACATTTTTTGAAAAACCATCGTCCAGAGCGAAACAAAACAGCCAGCACACGGGCGGCCGTTTATAACTACATTCCAAGCGAACAGCGGAGATAGAGAATAAATAAAATCTCGCAGCCTGATTTTTCCAAACAGTTTATTGTAATGAAATTTTAGCTGCAGGCTTGCGTGTGACAGTAAATTACCAACTCCCTTATTTACGCATAATTTTAACATCAATGCTTATGAGTGGTCAGTCTTCATTCTTATCTTTTAATTCCATGCAATAAACATCAAATACATGCAGTAATTAGCCAGAAATCAGCAAAATTCTACACGACATAAATTTATGTCGCACGTGCCGCCGGTCTTGTCTGCTTCTTTGTACGAAAATGTTCTGTCGCTGGCAGAAAACAGTTTAGAAATGTCATGACATTTTTGCCGCTTGCCAGTTTGTTTTTGTGTGTCGTCACAATGGTTATCGCAAAAAGTATGAAATGTTAAGGAAAAAATGTTAAACTCCAGGACTCGTGCCACCACTGATCTTAACAGAACAAAATAAACGTTCTCTTCTCGTAAGTATGTACGTCTGTGTGTATGTGTATGCGTGTATGTATATGTATGAGTGTCTTCATCGGTTTTACAAGGATTCAAAATCCTTCAGTTCTCGTCCCACATTTTGCATCAACCATTTTTCATAGGTAGAGGAAAATTAACAAACTGAAATAAACTGCAATTTTATTCGACTTTCGTCTTCCGTTTTCGAATCAATACAAACAAGTGGGCAAAACGAAAAAAATAATATATAATATGCTACTAACATGGTATTATTACGTGGCAAATTTTTAATGCGAAAATGTCGCAGTTTATCTTAATGTATACATCTTCTCCGGTTCATTCATTCAACACTTTCTGTCCGTTTCGTCTCCGGTCATGTGTGTGTGTCTTCTCAATTCAATTATTAAAGCATCCTACAATCGTACTATTAATGTTGAAGCTTAAATAGTAGGTTTCTGATATAATTACAGGTGTGATCCTCTGTGCAAACCTCTTTTCCCCGAGACAACAACTGTGAACTTTTCAAATCGTTCGGGAAAAGAGCTTTGACAGCTTTATGATTCTTGTTTATGTTTTCGATTGGGATCATTCAGTAGAATATATTTCATATACATAAGAAAAAAGAGCAGGTCGTGTTCCTTTTTTTGCCATCCGGGATGGCAAATACAGCTGCTTTCTATAAAATAATTTAATTCCTTCATTCGGGAGGAGAAGGGGAAAGGCCTATTTTCCTCAAATTCGACTGTACAAAAACAGTGCAGTGTATCTACCATTCCGTTCGGATGGACCGGCGGCAAGACCGATCCCGCCCGTGAATTTCATACTTCTAGTTTACTTGTTACTTCACACATAACAAATTTTGCAGCACTTTATCCGTTCACGACATTGCGTCTGGCTCCTGTTCGGGCAGCTGCTGACCGGAGGAGGATGTCAATTTACGTTTCAACTCCGGCGAGACGTATCGGAATCGAGATTTGTCATAGTTCTGCGATGATGATGGAGGCGGCGACGGACTGGTGGCCGCCGCCACCATCCCGGCGTAGGTACTCGTCTTATTTGTCGTCGTTGTACGTGTCGGGTTGTTGTTGTTGTCGTTGCTGTAGCTGCTATTCTGACGACCGTCCTTTGTCCATACTAGGTTAGTGTGTTTGTTGCGAGTAATCGTAGCGGCGTGGTTCGATGCTGTAGTAGTTGCTGCTGCTGCTTGATGGCGTCTTGCTCCTACCGTGGTATGATACGTCGCGTGGCGCGGATTTTCCGCCGAGTGGCTGGCTGCTGCTGATTTTGACCAGGTATACTTGTGGCGCTGATTGGTGGAGGAAAAGAGTTAATCATTCGAACGGGGGGTTATGTTTATATAAATTTAAGAAAAAAAATGAAAACGCGAACATGCATTCAACACGACACAAATTTTGAATTGATGTCATTCGAGTGATTATTATTTCAAAATTATCAAACTCATTGCAAGTTATGCTAAGGAAAACTGGGATGGGATATTTCACAAAGTGTAGTTATCACTATTTGGCTGCCGGTACCCCGTACCCACTTATACCGATAAATAATTACATTGTCTACTGGTTGAACTTCAACAGAATATGAAAGAACAGCTCATGATCAGGCCTGAACATACTCATTACAGCTAAAATGTTACTTTTAGAAATTATGAAACTATGAGATATTATAATAATAATTTGTAGATGCAAGATGCAAGTAGAGGAGGTAAAGTTTGTGCATGACACATAAAATCTTTCAATTTCGCTTCCAGAGTGTCACAATTAGCGATTAGCTATAACGAATAGTACTCACTCATGCCGATTACTCATTACACCTAAAATAGCTAGTTGTGACCCTCTGAAAGCAAAATTCACTCGTTTTATATGTCATTCAATTCACCAAACTTTACCTCCTCTTCTTGCACATTACATATAACAATTATTATTATAATATCTCATAGTTTCATAATTTTGAAAAGCAGTATTTTAGCTATAATGAATACGTTCAGGCCTGCTCACGATAAAAAGAAGGAAATATAATCATTTACTTGGTGTTTACCCTTTCTATGAACATGAACTGTTCTTTTTTCGTGTTTATGCCAAAAGACTTTAATGTCAAACGGCAGTTATGCCAAATGGAGTAGAGCCATAATTTCCTCATCAACTTATAAAGGCCCACGCACATTAGATCCGGATCGGACGCGTTGCGGTAAAGTGACAGCTAAATCTATTGTCTAACTGTCAAATTTACGTCAACGCAACGCAAACGGATCTAACGTGGGGGGCCCTTTAGATCCGTTTGCGTTGCGTTGACGTAAATTTGACAGTTAGACTATAGATTAAGCTGTCACTTTGCCGCAACGCGTCCGATCCGGATCTAATGTGCGTGGCCCTTAACTGAATGTAATAAAACTTTTGAATATGCTTCAGAGTCCAATTGTTGCACGCATCATTTGATTTGCAATTCTATTTTTTTTTTATTAAGGAGATTTTCAGCCGTAGGCTGCACTGAAAAAAGTTTTCATATAGTTTCCATTGGGAACGCACATGATATTTTTCCAATAACAAATTTAATGATTTTTATCTGAAATTCACATAACATTCACATGATCACATGAATTCTATGTTATAAATCACATAAACTTCATTGGACACATAAGGTTCATGTGATTTCGTGGTGCGATTCCCAATTATGAGATCACATGAAAGTTATGTGAAATCCTAATGGATATTTTCCATCGGAATGTGATTTATTTTTTTGAGTGTGGTTCATCTCCGAAAGCCCCTGAAGGGGACTAACCCAGTAACGTAGTTTATAATTTTCCGGTGAACCCTGAGGGGGTTCTCCTACGTATTGGTGTGCTTAGGGTGTTCCCTTGGTACATAGTATATTAACGTTTGTGTTTCGTGGTTGTTCAGCGTGGTTGGCGGTTCATAAAGGGGATGGCAGTGGTCGTTGTAGAGAGTAATCAGATAATCGTTGTGTGGTATCCAGCTTAAAGTAAATCGGGTCCGTGTTAGGGGCCTCATAGCCTAGTCAGTAAAGGCACGGTATTATCAAGCCGGAGGCGGCGGGTTCGATTCCCGGTCCGGTCGAGGGAATCTTTCAGGTTGGAAATTTTCTCGACTTCCCTGGGCATAGAGTATCATTGTGCTTGCCACACAATATACAAATTCATGCATTGGTATTAGCATCGAAAGCTCTCAATTAATAACTGTGGAAGTGCATTTAGAACACTAAGTTGAGAGCACGCAATAAGCTAATATGCGCTAAGCAATAAGCTTGAAATGCGAACAAGAAGAAGAAGAAGGGTCCGTGTTCGGATTTTTTTGTCATGACAGAACGTGACAGTGCTGTGATAATCGTGATTACTAGCTCATGTATTGCTATTAAAGTTACTTGTACCGAGGAAATCTTAAAAATATATTCACTCTACCGATTACATATGGTTACTTGCTTAAATTCATCTAAATCAGTTAGAAATGTTGATGTCAAAACTGCATAAAAATTATTCTCATGAGTGCTTGATCATTGGAAAATGACAAGAAAGCTAATGATCGGTCGTTTCGTCTCGTGATAGTTAAAGGACCTGTTTTCACATTGTAACATGACTTCCGTGATATTTACCAGCTCTGATTAGAGCAGCTTCCGTGGATGGGTCGTTAGACAGGGCATTGCGTATGCCGTCCGATGAGTAGATGTAGCGCTGCCCATATTATGGGTTACTCGTATGCGTCCAGATCGGAGCCGAGATAGGACCTGTTGTTCGCGTCGACTCGTAGTGTCATTCCATTTGAAGATGTCGTCCTTTATTTTCATTAAGAAGGGTCCCCTTTTTGTAACCCACTTTTGGTTCCAGGCGTCTCGAATGGTTGTTTTCACCCATGCTTTAATGTCTGAACTGGAAACAGATGTGGTAGTTAACGCGTCGGTGCGCCCAGTGGCGGCGAGATGGTCCGCTTCGCAGTTACCGCGTATACCACAATGGCCGGGTACCCAGACAAATAAGGTTTTCGGCGGTGCGGTCTTTTGTATTCCTTAGATCCAGGGATGTTTTGATGTTGCTGAATTCAAGGCATATAAAACGCTGGCAGAATCTGTTAGAACGCAAATGGGTTTATTGGAGGGCGTAGTGATGACTAAGTAGATGGTCGCGGCCTCCGCCGAGTAGACGGAGCATTGATCGGGAAGTCGAAAGAACATATCTGCTACTACGTATCCTACTTTCCCTGCAGCCTTGGAGCCGTCCGTGAAGCGGTGTTGAAAATTGGCATACTTAGTTCTGAGTATCTCCGCTAGGTGGCTGTGCTTAGCGTGAGAGTTGGCTCTGTCCATCCTCTGGCTCCGATCCAGTGTAACCTGTGCTCCTGATGGACCAGGCTTCCTAGGGCCCTATTCTTCTCTATGAGGAGAAAGGCCTCGTGGTTCCCAGTGTTCTTTCCAGGTAACTGGATGTTCTGCAACTCAGCGTTACGGCGATTTGATATTGGAACGGCAGTACACCAAGTTCAACGCATGCCGATTCAGCGGGTGTAGAAGACAGAAGACCTGCGACGACCCGGATGGCCTGGTTGTAGGTTGAGTCTTTGGAGAGGCAGGTTAGTTCAATCCCATAAAATAGTCTACTGTTTACGGTGGCCTTGGCTACCTTTAATATCTCTCTGTTGCTGCTGCGGTGCGGTTTGGAGAGTGTTCGCAGGAGGTTTAGTCGCGTACGGCAATTGGCTTTAGTGTCAGTAAAGTGTGCGTTGAACCTCAGCTCCCGGTCCAGGCGCACACCGAGAACATGGATGGTCTTTTTCTTATGCCTTGGCTAGATCCAGAAGTGAAGTTCCTCGTCCATCGCTTCCTGAAGTGTGTCTCCCAGGCCGGTAAAGTACGTTCCGGTGACTGAACGCATGCTGTCGGTGGTCGAGATGGTTGTTGTCCTCAAGGAACCGCATTAGCCGGCGATTGACCATCCGTTCCATGACTTTGCTGGTACAGCACGTCAGTGAAATCGGACGGAAATTTTCCGGTGTTGAAGCAGCTTGTCCCTGCTTTGGGGACTACTAGGCTGTGAGTCCATTCTTTAGTCAGGGTGCTGTCCGACCAAATTTTGTTTATTAGATTTAGCAGTCCGATTTTGGTGTTGGGTGGGAGGTGTTGCAACATGGGACCAGCAGATTTACTTTTGCTACGGGATAATACTAGATTAAGTTCTTCGAATCGAAAGGGAGCGTTTAAACTGGTAACATCGAGCCCTCCGGGATGACAATGTTACGAATACTCTGTGTGAACAAGTGTTTTTTTTTGTATGAAAACCGTGTCGTAACGATTAGGACACCACCTATGCGGCAGGAATACGAACTAAGCAAAAATCACCAAAAGTTTGTCCTTAATAAACTGAGCAACTTTGTCGAAGACTGCAAATCTGTAGAATGCATACCCACGGCCAGGGATGGATCGCTCTTTTGGGACAATTTCATTGCTTTTTTATATAGAATGCTAACATTGAATCCAATTGAATTTTCAGTTAACCCATCTTAATATAGATAGTTTAGTGCTATTAATCTCCCTGTAAAAATTCAAAATTCCCGCAGAGCCACACTCTGTGTTTTCACTGAAGGTGCACTTGAGAGCGCTCTCGAGTGCACCTTTAGTGAAAACACAGAGTGTGGCTTTACGAAGCAGAAACTTTGCATTCTGATAGGGAGATTAATAGCATCAAACCATCTATTTTACAAAGGGTTAACTGAAAATTTGACTGGATTTAGCATTCTATAATAAAAAGTAATGAAAAAGTTCCAAAAGAGCTATCCATCACTGCCCACGGCACTAGAGGTTTTGGCCATGCTACCGGTTCACTGCCCCACTGTGCCCCGGTGTACTGGTTATCGTCCATATCGCGCACGCCAAGCTCACGAGTTCAAATCTCATCCCCGCACAAGTCACAATTGACCCAAGGGGCTGTCCATAAACTACGTAGAAGTTTTTGAATCCGTCAGGAAAAATTTGTATCAATACATGGTTTCGGAGTTATTTCGGTTTCCTTTGGGGTCACTCTGGGTCAGCATTCGGCTTTAAGGTTCAATTTACTTTGATGATTTTTGGAAAATTTCAAAAGCAGTTTTTTTCCGGCGCATTAATTTAGATTGCAAAAAGCTCGCACTATTCGATTCATTTTGATATCTTACACAAAATGACGCGAGCTTTTTGCAATCTAAAATAATGCGTCGAAAAAAACTGCTTTGAAATTTTCCAAAAAGCATCAAAGTAAATTGAACCTTAATGTTCTGTAATAATCATGCACACGGTGAACATATTATTTTC